AAAGAGGATGTGGCCAGTGCATATTGTACATGTTAATTCACAAAGCTGACCATGATTGATTAGCCACCTTCCCTCTACTAAACTGCAGGAATAAAGCTTGCACTTCAACCATTATTAACTACACCGCTGATGATGTATGTTGAGCTTTATTAAAGACAGTAACTGTATTCTACCACAAGGTGATGACACAATACTTCATTGAATGATATTTTAGGTACAGATTGCTAGATAACCACACACGTTTTTTTATTAGAAATCCGCACAGCTCTGCAAGTAAAAACTATTAATAGTACTCAGCACATTACAGCAGCAAGACAGCTTTTAAAACATCTTCTAGGCATATGCCATTAAAAACCTACAATCCGGTAGGGATTAGAAATTAAAGATGGATTCAACAAAGCTGTAATAATAATTCTACCAACATGCTTGCAGCTGCAGTGTGGGATATACTTGTTTTGTTATAAATCCAAGGTTTGCACACAGATGTTGGTATGAATATAACACAGTTATGCATCAGGAAAAGATCTCTTATTGATCTATGATTGAAAAAATGTCTATATTCTGCAATGTATCTCATAAAAAAATGTATATGGAAGTGACTGCTAATGTTCGGATTTCTAGGAAGAAGTAGTCCTAGGCAGTGAATAGTGATAGCCTTCCGAAAGGCACAAAGCTTTATTTACATCAGATGAGAAAAATGAGCATTACTATACTCGCAGAGCTATTTGTTTTTTTCTTTTTAATTTAATTTTTGTGGCTAAAAGCAGTTAACGATGGAGCAAGCCTAAAACCAATAGTCATACTGACAGCCAGAGAAGCTTTGGTAAGCTGTAAAAAAAAAAAAAAAAAAGTAATGTGACATTTAACAGTTTCTACTTCTACTAAATTTGATGATTACATACATTATGGAGGCCTATTCAAAAAGAAATAAAATAAACGATTTAACAGAGAATGGGAATGCAATAGTTGGTTAAGAAGGCTTGCATTTGAAATCACAGCTAATAGGTACGTTTTTCTGACACTCAAATATTTCTGCTGTTGTAAATGTTTTGTAATAGGCTGCCAGCATCTGAACAATTATTTGCACTTCTTAGTAAACCCTGATTATATATTCCTATTCCACTTATCCGTACACATCTACTAAAATGGATTTCATCATCTATTTTTGTGCATTCAAGGTAAAATTAACACGGAATGTGAGATTATGATAATACAACAATCCAGTGACAAGTACGTGAAATAAATAACCCTTTCCCACACTATAGCAATTTCTGTTCTTACTTTGTAACTTAAGACTAAATTTGTAACAGTGTAAGAGATATCCTATAAATGAAAGAAATTAGGAACCTCTGCTCAACAGAGGAACCTGCATAAAATAGAAATTCTGATTTATAGGGGATAGCGGTTAAGGCACTTAAAGAATGGAATCTACAGTTCATCTTAATAACATTCTGAAAAAAAACAATGATTATGTTCATAATGGAGTAACCCATAGCAACCAAACTTCACTCAACCAGCTCAGAACTCTTAGAATGAAATATTACACTGCTCAAAAAAAAATTAAAAGAACACAATTTAATCAGAGTATAGCAACAAGTCATTTAAACTCCTGGGATATTGATCTGGTCAGTTAAGTAGCAGAGGGGGCTGTTAATCAGTTTCAACTGCATTGGTGTTAATGAAATTAACAACAGGAGCACTAGATGGGCAACAATGAGACGACCCCCAAAACAGGAATGGTTTTACAGGTGGAGGCCACTGACATTTTTTTCCCTACTCATCTTTTAGGACTGTTTTTCACTAGTTTTGCATTTGGCTAGGGTCAGTGTCACTACTGGTAGCATGAGGCGATACCTGGACCCTACAGAGGTTGCATAGGCAGTTTAACTCCTCCAGCATGGCACAATACGTGCCATTGCTAGAAGGTTTGCTGTGTCTCCCAGCACAGTCTCAAGAGCATGGAGGAGATTCCAAGGAGACAGGCAGTTACTGTAGGAGAGCTGGACAGGGCCGTAGAAAGTCCTTAACCCATCAGCAGGACCGGTATTTGCTCCTTTGTGCAAGGAGGAACAGCATGAGCATTGCCAGGGCCCTACAAAATGACCTCCAGCAGGCCACTGTTGTGAATGTCTCTGGCCAAACAACCAGAAACAGACTTCATAAGGGTGGGCTGAGGGCCTGATGTCCTCTAGTGGGCCCTGTACTCACTTCCCGGCTCCATAGAGCTCGATTGGCATTTGCCATTGAACACCAGAGTTGGCAGGTCCTCCACTGGCGCCCTGTGCTTTTCACAGATGAGTGCAGGGTCACCATGAGCACATGTGACAGACATAAAAGAGTCTGGAGAAGCTGTGGAGAACGTTATGCTACCTGTAACAACGTTCAGCATGACCGTTTTGATGTTGGGTCTGGGGAGGCATATCCATGGAGGGAAGCACAGACCTCTACAGGCTAGACAATGGCACCCTGACTGCCATTAGGTGTCAGGATGAAATCCTTGGACCCATTGTCAGACTGCCGCATGACAATCGTGGCCTCATGTGGCGAGAGTATGCAGGCAGTTCCTGGAGGATGAAGGAATTGACACCATTGAATGGCCACTACGCTCTCCTGACCTAAATCCAATAAAACACCTCTGGGATATCATGTTTCAGTCCATCTGATGCCGCCAGGTTGCATCTCAGACTGTCCAGGAGCTCAGTAATGCCCTAGTCCAGATCTGAGGAAACACTTCAGGACACCATCTGTCGTCTCATTAGGAGCATGCCCCGACATTGTTAGACATACATATAAACACCTGGGGGCCTTACAAACTACTGAGCATCATTTTGGACTAGCCTGCTGCATCATTTTTTCACTTTGATTTTCAGGGTGTCTTTGATTTCAGTCCTCTGTAGGTTGGCAATTTTCATTTCCATCAAACAATGGGGCATCCTTACGTTCCTAACACTTTACCCAATCCAAATCAATATAGATATCCAGCATGAGATTTTTCCCTATTGCGATCTGCATTTTTTGTTCCTTTAATTTTTTGAGCAGTGTATTTCTAGCTGGATGCTACGGGTTACTACTGCACTTATTACAGGGTTTGTTCACCTTTACTGACATTTTCCACAAATCTCCCTATGTACTGCAGTGTCATCGATACTTTAACATGCAGTGCTCCTTTTTATTAAGAAATGCTCACTTTTCAGATGATCATTCCATTGCCCTACCCTCTCTGTCCTACAGATGGCAGACTGCAGTGGGCAATGAAATAAGCAGCTGAAAAAGTATTCTTTAACAAAAAGGAGCACAGCATGTTAATGTATTGATGATGCTGTAATGCATAGGGAGGTTTGTGGCAAAAGTCAGTTAAGGAGAACAAACCTTTTAAAGAGTACATATAGATTCATTTTCTCATAAAATTGCACAATAGAGCCAGAAAGTGTGCTATAATAATCTAGAATACATTAAAAACATTAGGATGACATAAACCATATTGCACAAAGTGGAAATACAAGTGCAAACCAACAAAATCATGAGCACGGTTTAAAAGGAATGAGCTCGAACAGATAACTAATTCTCTCTCAAAACTTTGCTACAGTAAAACACTGGAATAACCATCCTGGGGACCTGTTTCTACTTTAAATAAAGTTTGAAGTTTCAGCACATTATACCCATAGTGCAGGGCTGTGTTTTCAACAGACACAGCAGCTAAAGTTAAAGGAACTAGTGCAATTGGGTAAACTGTTGAGGATATTCAACAGGCCACATGGGGAATACATAGCATGAACAATCTTTTTCTTTTATCTATGAAACCACACAGTCATCTTTATTTTTGCCTTTTCCTTTTCTAGAAGCTTTATCTGAGCTGTCCTCCATTCGTATGTCATCTGTAGATGTGTGGTCCACTGATGATCCCAATGGTAGACTTTCTCCAGTGTATTTTTCACTTCGTACAGCCACATCTTCATTGTCATTATCATCAGATTCTTCCCCATCTGGCGAAGACTCACCCTCACTACTTAAAGTCTCACTAGGAACAGAGTCTTTTTGGATTTCTGCAACATTTGGGATGTTGTCACTTGTGTTCTCATTCTTGCCAGGATGGTCAGATGTTTTGTCTTGTTTCTCTTCTTTCAAAAACTCAGTGCCTGGAGCATCTGGGCAGACAGGATTTGTTTTTTCATCCAAGTTCTCACTCTTGTCAGACACTGGATGATCGGAAATTTTGTCTCGTTTTCCCTCATCTAATATTACAGTGTCTGGTGCATCTGAGAAGACTGTATTTTCATTGGTTCCCTCACTCTCCTTGAAAATTTGTTTTGTTCCCTTTTATCCAGTAATGCAGCCCCTGGCAAATCTGGGAATGCAACATTCATTTTTCCATTCTCTGGACTTTTTAGATCAGCATGAATTCTTTCAGCATCTGTTGTACCTTCGTGTTGGTCTAGGTGACTAATGCTATCCTCTTCACTGTTCTTTAGTGCTTCATTTTTAACTAAGCTTTGCTTGTTACGTAAAATAAAAGGCTCTGAAACCTCAACATTATTGTTTGCACTGTCTACTAGCTGTTTCTCTTCTACTATAAGTTGGATGTCTTGTGTTGACTGCTCAGGAGATACATCAGTCTTTTTATCCTCAACTACATCACAAGTATCAATGTGAATGGTTGTCACTGCAGATACGGACTCCTTCTCAGAGGACATGTCATTTTTATTACTCTCTCTTTTTTCCGAGTCATCCTCTCTGCACTCTAACCCTGGCTGAACAACAGACTGTTCATCATGCTTTACCTCCTCCTCACACACTTCCTCATGTTCTACAGCTGTAGTTGTCATCTCATCAGCAGTACTCCCTTCTGAATCATCCTGACTAGAATAATCAGAGCTGCTTGTTTCATGCTCTTCTTTTGTGTCTCTACAATCGGAAATTTCCATAGCACCATTGTTGGGAACACTGTTACTTTCAACAGATGAGCTCTGCGCATCACACTTCTCTTCTTCCGTATTCAAGTGCTTCATGTTATTGTCATCATTCCTAAAATCACCTACAGAAACTACATGTTCTCCAATGAACTGACCAGCTACTAAAGGAGACTGAACAACATTATCCAGAGCATCCTGGAAGACTTCATTCTCTTCTGGGCTTGTGTCCCTCTGCTCCACCATTACCTCTTTAGGCATCTCAGAAAAACTTATCTCTAAATCCTCATTGTTTACATTTTCTGGAGCATGTTCATCCATTATTTCACATTCACTGCTTATTGATTCCGAATCAAGTGGCAGACCTCCCTGGTGCTCTAGATTTGTTTTACTGAGAGTACCATCAGTATTTACATCGTCATTTGAATCGTGAGCAAATTCTTGCATGATTTGCTCTTTCATTTTATCTCCAACCTCTGCATTTAGTGGTGATTCTGATGGAGCAGTCAGTAGTACTTGTGGATTGGTCTGCTCAGTCTTGGATGGGGGAATTTCACCCACCACTGACATAGTTTCTTTTTTCTCCACTGCTTCCGCTGAGGGGCCTAAAAAACCATGGATAAGAAAATGAAGAATCTGCACAATACCTAAACCCACATTCCCAAAAGAGCTCAGAAAGAGAGAGCAGAAGTGGAGGAATCAAAGTTTCTGCCCAGGAAGATTAGGTAGCAACAGGTTGGACAGTGCAGGAAAAAGGTCATCCAGGATCACAGCTGTGTAAAAAAGAAATGTTAACAAAAGCAGATAGTTTATTGGTTTTTAAAATACATCTGTTATAGGAAACTATGTGGTTTGCCACTGCTGGCTCATTTTTTAAAATGATAGTTGGTTGCATCTGGCCCCACTGCTTCTGAGTCACGGACACAGACTAAGAATGCAACAAATAAAAGTCAGAGATAGGTCAAAATTTCTTACAAAGACAAGTGATTATCCTTGTATGTGTTTTGGATCAGTGTCTCAGAAAGTACTTAAGTGAAAGCATTAAGTATGAAAGCCAGACAACTAGCCTTTTATAGAGACATTAGCAGGGGCAGACTATATAATTATTTGTGACAGGATTCCTTTAAGGTTGAAAAGCTGCTTAGCAGATTGCTGTAAACTCAATGGACGAGCTACATTAAAAACTAAAAATACTGAAACGGATTGCTAAACAAGCCAAAACACTATTCTATAAATAAAAAACATTTTTGCCTTTTGCCCTCCGAGTGTGGCCCTGGAGCATTAAGTGAAGATAATTTTTTTTCCCGGTTTCTATGGAAGCTGACAAAGAGACCCACAAAATTCAACCATTGCGCACTACTGCACTTAATCAGGGTCTCCAGATTTTTCCTGATTGAGAACCACCATCACAACCTTGGCGGAGTGGAACCCATATTAATGTAATCCACAGTCTTGGTGCAGTCTTTGCAGGCTTCATGTACCACCAACCTATATCGTGTAAGCAAAATGCTTCAGCTTTACCCTCTGTCACCTTACCTGCTATTTGAATCTCCACTATAATTGCCTTTTTGACATGGCCACATAGCCTCATAGATCTGACATGTACACAAGACACTGCTCTCACTAAAAGGGCTACCAAATACCACAGAAGCCATCACTTGCAGTCCATGTTTTCACTGGCATTCGGAAACAAAGAGAATTTCAGCCATGGGCACCTTCCAATCCTCATTTAAGATAATGATGCTTGTACCTCTCAGAGCTAGGATGTTTACCACCACAACTATGTGCCAATATTTACATAATAATACAAATCCAACCTCTAAGATCATTGTGTCATCCTTCCTAAGGAGAATATAGCATGGTGTCAGACCCCCCCCAAACCAGCCTCTGCATTTATAGTTTAAAAATATGCTCTGCCATATCGGGAAAAAAAATGTCTTTAGAGTAGAGACATGTTTATGCACAGAGCATCCCCACCCCTTCTACTACTCAACAGACTGTGCTTCTAAATTACAGCAAACTAATAATTACCAGGTTTAAGCAGGGCAATGCAGACAATCTTCACTACATGGAAGAACTCCTGAATACTACCCTCTATGACAACTGTTTTATAGTCTTTATATGTCTGTCTGCTTTAACTTTGGAGGAGGGCAGCTGTTTTGTATCAAAAATACCTTACAAGGCAACGAGCTAAGAGAGTTACACAATGCACAGCAAGCAGGGTTAGTGGAAAGTTACAAAGCTCAGAACAGGATTTACTAGAAAGAATCAGAGAGAATGACCCACAAAATCACTTACCCATTGATGTTGCCCTTATGGGTGGATCGGGTCGGCCATCGGCATTTACATGAGGTTCTAAAGAAGCGTCTCCATTGGGGGTGCCCACAGAATCCGGTGCTATGCCGTGTTTCTAAAGAGAAAAGAACTATGCATCATTCGCAAGGTAAACTACATCTTTTCAAGAGAGGAAAATAATATTGTTGTGCAACACTTTAAGGGCTAATCAGCAGAACATTAACATTAAGCAGGCATTAAGCATTTATCTTACAAATTAATAATATTCATTCTATTTCATGGTTTATGGACTGCTCACCAGGAGCTTTTGACAAAAGAATGTGTTATGTTCCTATTACCACAATCCAGAATGACATAATTAGCATGCTTCCTTTAATTACACATTTATACAACAGCCTGGAAGTATGGAATGCAAGCTCTATCAGTAGCAACAGAGGGGGGCTAAGAAACACTGCTGTAACCAAACAATGCTTTATTACTATATGTTTATTTCATATTCCTAACTGGTAAAATCTTGTATTTTACCTGTTTTTTCTCTAATAGTCTGTTTAATCTTAAAAGCTGGTGAAACTATTTTAGTCATCTGGCTGCTGACAACACACTGTGGAAGGCTCTGCAGTATGACAGCTAAAGGGTGACACTTGTTAAAGGTCAGACTGTATTTAGAATCATAGCAACTTAAACCTGTCTGAAAACAGATTTTTTTTTTTTCATAAATTACATTTTTTACATGGATATGTTTAAAAATTAAAATATTTATAGTGTCAATGTTAAATCTACTGTACCTTTAGCTCGTCCCTCAGATGGGTCACCTCCTCCCTAAGGGCATCGCGTTCACTGCGAACTGGCTCAAAAAACTCTTTTTGTCTCTCTAGAGCCTGCACTTCCCCAGACAGGAGAAAGAATACACAGGGAGACGTGGAAGAAAATAGGCAAAAATAAAGATAGTGAAATCATAGGAAGGAAAAGAAAGCTGTAAGTGCACACAGATGCAGCATAAAAAGCTAGACAGGTTTAGCTATTGAATCATATTGCCTCACCACACTTTTATTAGGGGGTCTGCCACTGTTCAAGGCATGTCTTATACTTCAGAACACACTGGGCAGCTATGGACACAAACTAACAGTAACAACTGTGGAAAATTCACAGCTAGGGTCTAATCATTTCAAAACATTCTTTCGTTAAAATAATGGGATGTCTAGCATAATAAACTAACAGCCATTTAATTTAAACACACTGATAAATTATGGAGACAAATCAGGCTTATATTATAAAGGGAGTAATGAATCAGACTATCTTTCCTTGTCATGACTTCAATAAGTCATTGCTTAATTTGCTGCAACAGAATACTGCACTTTACACATTGTATATTAGAGACTAGTAATGGACAGTAGCATTGGTAGTTGTGAGGAAGCAATGCCATAAAAACTCAACTTCTCTAACTACACTGCAGCTATGATATTAAACTGATGTTTAACAATTCTGAGATTCTTTCCCCAAGTAGCTTCCAAAAGCTATAGTCTTCATAGTGTATATAATAAATGTTCTCAGTCTATTCCCTTACATTGCATGAATGGACAAGGGAAATTGTGACAATGCTCAACATAGATTCATACCCCTATCTTTTTATCCTTCCATTCTATGGTCTCCTTGAGGTCACAGATCTCGAGGTCACTGTTCTCTTGTTTTTGTTGCAGTTGGCGGATCTCCTAATGAGCAGCATTCAAGCAGCAAGTGAAGAAGGAATTCAAAGGAAGTAAACAGTAAAGATTAGATAAAGAGGATGAAAGAAACACCATACTAAATAGGAAAAGAAATTTAACCATGAGGCAAAAATGCTTGTGACCCTTGCATTCAAGCCCCATTATAAAGAGCTCCGATCTGAGGATAGCCTGCAAAACAGTGAGTCTACATTTGCCACTTCATGGATAATTACTGTTAAGAGTGACTCTCTTTGCTCCAATGCTTCCTTCATCTCAGCCAGCTGAAAACGCAGGATATTCTGGTCATGTTTCTGCCGTTCACACTCCTGTAAAGAAAAATCATAAGATAAGCACTTTATTATACACTATTAGCTGTCAGGAGGGTGACAATGTGGCCCTAACCTATGCTGAGAGACACACACGGACTGCCATTGCCAACATCTTTCTAAAATAGTTTTTTGACCATCATGCTGCCCCAAAAATGCCAAAATTTTCTGAGTCACTGACCTTTAACAACCATACAAATTAGTGGTTCAAATTTCACTTGCCAAAAGCTTTATCTGGGTCGGTGACAAATAGGGGTGGATTTACTAAAACTGGAAAATGCTAAATCTGGTGCAGCTGTACATGGTAGCCAATCATCTTCTAACTTCAGCTTCTTCAATCAAGCTTTGACAAAAAAAAAAACAAAAAAAAAAAAAACCTGGAAGCAGATTGGATTCTATGCAGAACTGCATCAGATTTTGCACTCTCCAGTTTTAGCAAATCAACCCCATAGTATTTAAGCCATGGGTGCTCCACTCGAGGCCTATGGAACTGCAAGTTCCATGGTGCATCGCAAGGCTGACAGTTACAAGCATGATTCCCAAAGGAAGAGGTATGATTGTAAGCTCCGCGACAGCTAGAGGGCCACAGGTTGAGCACCCATGATTTAAGAAGACTACCTCCAGGCATCTAGCAACTTTGGGAAGTGGTCAATAATGACAGCCTGCACATGCTTTCTGCATGCTCCATTTAAAATAAGCCCTCCAGAAATGAAATACTGGCATAATTAGTATTGAGTAAAATTATTTGCTCAAACATGGATTGGGCCAATTTTATCAAAAGCAAAAATTTGTAAATGATCCACAAGTCAATCAGTTCTTGGTATATGGTTATAGACCTCTTCAGTACTATTACAGTTCTCACAAGAAGTGTGCACGTTCTGCCATAGGACAGGCACACTGTACCCTTTTAATAACCTTTAGCGCATGAGTGAAAGGGACTCCTCCTCCTGTTTGGTGGTATTCCTCCCACCCAATGACACCACTTTATTAAGGAAGTACTACACTAACTCCAGGCAGCTCCTGGAGCTATTCTCGGGGATGTTTAATTCCTATCAACCGACGCCAGACATGTAGTTCCGGGCACAATCTTTCTTTTCCACATTTAGCCCTGTCTGCGGGCTGTCCCATCTACGGACTGTGGCTCTGGGCTCCTTCTGCTCAGCTGGGGGCTGGAGGAAGAACAGGACTAATGTGTGTCAGACACAGCAGTCTAATCCTTGTGCAGCAGTCTCGACTTTCATTTCTATACCAATCCGCCGGGGTATAGAATTGCTTGGAACCGCAGCACAAGGATTACTCAACCGGAACCATTTTATGATTTTCGGGTGCTGAAATTCTTGTGCTGCAGTTCCTGACAATTCCATACCCCCGACGGAGTGGTATAGCAGTGAACAGATGGTCGGGACTCTAAATTGCTGCATAAGGGTTAGCGGAGGTCAGGAACCGCTGCATAAAGCTTGAACAGTGCAGAGAACTACAAGAGGTAAGCACTTGAGCTTAGGGGTAGATAGTCCTGTTCCTCCCCCTGGCACCCAGCTGAGCAGAAGATTTTTTTTTTTAGTAATTAGAGCAGTCAAGAGGTTACTCAGCAGTAGTCATGTTCCTGTCCCCAGTTCCCTGCTGACTGCACAGAAAATACTGGAATAGCTTAACAGCCTTAGGGCACATTTACACATGGTGCCCTCTGAAGAGCAATCCACATGTCACCTCCTCACCACCTGTTTAATCCCACACAGCAGCACCCCCAACTGCTTGCATTGCACATGAATGCAGGAAGCCCGCATTCACTTAAATGGGCTGCTTTAATTTTCTACGGGTGTCGGCCGCTGCCCTACTGACACCCCCTCCTTGGAGCATCCATAAAGTGTTTACAAAACATTGCCCTGTGCCACTAAAGTGTTTGAGTTTGGCTTGAAGAAAAGGTGACAAACCTTGTCCTAGTCCTGTCCCACTGGGACACCTGACTGACCAGCTGGCGCTTCTGCCGGCTGATCATAGAGGCAGACAGACCAGAACCGCTCTGTCTACCTCTAGTATTGTAAACAGGAAATGATGGGCACACATCACTTCCCCGAATGTAAACAGAGGCATTTTTTAAAATGAAAAGCATTTGATCAAACCTATTTTATTGTGATTAAATGCTTTAAGGGTAGAGAAGGGATCTGGGGTCTTACTGACCCCAGATCTCTCCATAAAGAGTACCTGTCACAAGGGATGTTTACTTTCCATATGACTGCAATAAAAGTGAAAAAAAAAAAAAAAATGAAAGCGACAGTATAAAAATAAATATTGTTTTTAAAAAAATGCTAAGTGCCCCCATTCCAACACGCAAGGCGAGCACAAAAGTTGGTCCTGCGCGCATGCAAACAGTGATCGTCCCATACATGTGTCACTGCAAACGTCAGATCAAGGGCAGTAATTCTAGTACCAGACCCCCTGTGTAAATCCAAAGTGGTAACCTGTAAAGGTGTAAAGGCTTTTAAAGCATCGCCTATGGATAGTAAAATTTTAGTTTGTTGCCGTTGCACAGGCTTGTTCCATTTTAAAGCGTAACATGTTTGGTATCTATTTACGTGCCGTAACATCATCTTCTATATTTTACCCAAAAAATTGGGTTGTGTATTCTGTTTTTTTTGCATTTGTATTTAAAAAAAATTGCTTTGGAAAACAGCTGTGCAAATGACATAAAAATTGCAACACCCAATAATTTATTCTCTAGGGTCTTCACTTTAAAAAAAATATATAATTTTTGGGGGTTCTAAGAAATTTTCCAGCAAAAAATAAACAATATTAAAAGTTTAAGTTGCCATAAAGCCCCGGACATTCTTAAAAGCACCTCTGCCTAAACAAAAAAAAAACATCAACCCTTCATATTTTCCATCCTGGCAATTATTTTTTTTTTCATCAGGACAAATAGATTGACATGAGGGACAAGTAGACTGGGATCCCGATTTAGTCCCTTGGACAAGTAGTTTTTTTTTTTTTACATTTCCACTCCACTGAATAGTGCCTTAAAACACTGTTTAATACAATCTAATGTGCTGAACAGTGCTGTTCTGCACATCAATAATTAGTGTGTATTGCACAAGCTAAAGTCTACCAAATACAACTCCTTTGTATTTATAAGGAAAACATATTTCAAAATGTATTATGAATTCTATTGACTGAATGCTGAACTTAAAACAAGCACTCTGCCCATGTATCTAGAGGCTGCTATATGACTCATATGCAATCCAGCCATTCGATGCATAAAAGAATGGCTGAACATTTGTGTCAGAAGGGAGGATTCTAGTGTGTACAGGCTGGCCAGTCCATTGGGTTCATATCAGGCCAATAAAACGGACTGGCCAGAGATGGGACTATTGTTTTTCATAGCATCAGTAAATAAACTCTTGGCTAGCATGTGTTCATGTAATTAAAGTTCTGTACTTGCAAGATTGCCAAAATCCTGCTAGATTAATGCATAATGTATAGGACTAAAATGCTCTCTCTGCATTTTCTCCATAAGAGACTCTCACTAGCTGTAATTATTTATTTTCTCAGAGTTTCATTTGTTAGGTGTGTCTGGCTTTAGTATAATTTTAAAGATGGCAATAGAAAGGCATATTTTATTCAATTCAGCAACAATTGATCCAATCTTATTAAGACAGCTCAGATGCTTATGTCACTCGGACATAGTTTTGGGCAGATCAAGAAATGCCAATAGGTGTAATTGTGATATCAGGCTTTCCTCGCATATGACACAGCAGATACAGTGTGCAATAAGCTGAATTCTTACACCCAACCCATCGAATTTCATTTATAATAATTTGATATAATTTGAGTGCACAATAAAAGTAAATATCATAGGTGCTGGAACCCAACACAAGAGACATAATGCCTGTAATTTTATATGGCCAGGTTAAAGGAATTTTTAGGAATTTAAAAAACAATGCTCCCTACTTTGAACCTCTATAACTGATGTCAACAACAACAGATGAGGGGACTGCTATTGGTTACGATGGGGGTAGTGGTAACTGGATATCTCCTTGTTACTAGACAGATGTGGCAGATTAAAGAATGGACATATCCTTTAGATAAGAGTTATAATCCTGCAATTAGAACTCATCAGCAATTTACTATGTCAAGTGGAAGATGCTACTCTATATGTATGCATATAAAAGAGGCCTGGCACATATAAGCAAATTAATATTATCCAAGGATCTTTTAAATGAAAGAGCAGTGATTATGTGCCAAGTTCAACCACTCAGAATGACCAAGCAGATTTAAATTTAGTGCAATTGGTAAAATATTAATGCTGACTAGTTGTTATTGCAACAATTGATGTTGTATAATTGTATTATCTGCCTTTTAAAATAGATCTGCAGATGGGTTGTCTTCAGACACTGGACCTGTAGGCACTAATGCTTATCATACACAATACAATTTGACTATAGCTTTATATCACCATCAACTACAAAGTGTAAAGGCCTGACTGGTATGAACAGTATGTTACATGGTTTTGGTAAACGTAAAAGGAGACTGTGCAGAGATTGTGCAATCAGGTTATATAGTGTATGGCCAGCCTAACAGTGAAGCTAGACTTTTAAAAGGGGTTTTATCACTCACTTTATGTTTTTCTTCATACTGACGCCGAGACTCTGCTAGTTCCTCCTCGAACTCTAAGAGAACTTCCCGCAGCGTGTCCACTTGATATTGTAAAGATGTTTTCTCATTGTCTAATTGGGCATTTGTTACCATAGACCTTTTATACTTCTCCTCCACTTCTGCCAGTGAGTCCTGGAAAATACATTAACTGCTATTAGAAACAGATTAATAAAAGAAAAATAAAGCAATGATAACTAAAATTAACATGAAGTGAACTCAAGGTTAAAACAGGTTAATAGTACACACCTGCAGACAGACAATGGTTAAACTACACTTTTTTTTGCCCTGTCACAGGATTAGTGCAACGCAAACTAGTACCTTCATCTCCTTTAGCCCTTGCATGTATCTGCCTTCTACATCCTCAATTTGCTCCTTCAACTCACTGATCTCCTGACAGGGGGAGAGAATGCACAGGGATGAAGAGGCAGACAAAGGAAGGCATGAAAGAAAACAGAACACACACACATTTGAACTTTTTGTGGAGAGAGGAGCATTTCTACTGGGGATGAAAAAGAACGTCACCCATATCTTCAGCCAGTGGCAGAAGCCCAGTAGACCTGGGTAAGACAGCTGTCTGCAGCTGGATTACAACTGAGCCAGAACAGAGAACCTCCACAAGACAGACACTCCCTGCATGACATCAGAACAAAATGAAAACATTTACAATATTATAAAAGGCAAGAAAAAGAAAATGTTTCCATGAAAGAATACGACTCCCCTAAAGATAACAGCTATTAGCTGAATACTTCACTGCTATAGCAGTCTTCTACATGGATAGAAAATTATTTTTACAGTCAAATATAAAATAAACTCTCTCAAAAGGGACATTCCTTAAAAAATTATATTTCATTGTGCAGTGCTTGCTTACGAGTTGATTATTATATCATTTGGGAAGCCTAGTAGTGGTGTCATAATGCTGGAAATACAAGTCTTTCATGAGTTTCGCTCTGCCTGTATCATTCTTCTTACTGTAAAATCAAAGAAAACTCCAACTGGAAAAAGTAACACTTGCAATGGCTGGGACGGAGAGCAGAAATCTGGTTAGTATGGACAATAAACCTAATCAACACCACCAACTGCATGGAGAAAAAGGCTACGGAGTGTTAAAAAGAGTAATATTATAAAATCAAGACTAAACATTTACAAGTATGAGGTGGTATCAAAAAGGTTCGAGACTAGTTTTGTAACACACCAACAGGTGGCAGCACAAGACTGCACGCACAGTCACAGGGAGCACAACATTCATAAGTCAGTGTGCCAAAAGACATTGTCCCGTGTACATCAGGAGCTGTGCAGCTGGTGCCATTATGACCACATGCGTTACCATGTCTGCTATTTCATCAAGGACATCAAGTTAGAACAAAGGGCAAATGTGAAATTCTGCATGAAACTGGGAAACTCTGCCACAGAAACGTTTGAAATGATTTGGCAAGTTTACAGCTATGCTACAATGAGTCATTTGAGGCGTTTTCATCCCCATGACTGTGCGCAGCCTTGTGCAGTCATCTGTTGGCATGTTACAAAACTAGTCTTGAAACTTTCTGATACCATCTCATTTATTTAGTGGTGTTGTTCACTTGTACACAACTCTGGATAAAGGACATTGCATCTACATCTGCTATGAGGCCTATTGTACTTGCTCCACAGGAAACATTTCTTGCACATGACTAGATGATAGAAGTAAGCACAACTCCCCTCATTCACTAAGAGAAGTGGGCAAGCTCTAACCCTTTAGTAAATCAGCCACACAGTATTTCATTTTAATAAGTTCCAATAAATTAGGATTCCTGTTTTCTGCTCTGTTAAAAAAAGGTAAAGTTAAAGGATGAGTTCACCTTTGGAACATGTTCCACCCGTTTTTTAGTGTGGAACATGTAACATGTTTCTAATGCTGCAGCCAATGTGATTCAAAGAAGCTAGAAAGTCACTATGAAAGTCTTGGAACTAGCATTTTCACAAAGAGGCCACTAATAGCTGCCTAAATATTTCTCCCATGACAGGTTTCCTTTCAAAGACTCTAAATAAGTTTTATAATATAAAAAACAAGGAAATGTCACCTCTCAGCTGTAAGGGAGTTTTAAAATGGAAAAACTTCCTCATGACACTTGTATTTTTGTGGCATAGCAAGTTGTGCTTTTCTATTTTATTTAAGAGGCACTGGGACACTGTGGCCTCACCCTCTTGTAAAGTAGCAGAGCCTGCTGTGCAGGGACATGTGTGATCACTTTCAGATGTGCTTCCATACACAGCTCGATTCCCGCAAATGATACAAGGTGGTCAAGCATCATTTGCGAGAATTTGCCATGTAGGGGTTAACCACATATAGCCATGACAAGCACATCAGTCTGTCCAATGGTCATTAGTACACTCAAAGATTTTATTAACCTGCTGGAAAATCTTGGAGAAAGGTGGCACCTCTATGGCAATTCTATGGAGAAAAAGGAATACAGTGTTCACTTTGTGCGCACAATGTGTCTCATGGACATGTCCTAAGTGGGGCCTCTATGGCCACATTAACAGCATCTCATTTAACAATACAATAAGGAAACAAGCCTGCTGGGACTGGTAAAGAATGCTGCAGCCCATGTAACACAGAGTCTAAACAAAAGGGACAGGTGTCTGGTTATTTTAGCAAAAAATAATTGTGGTAGGTTAGAATACTGAAAAGAAATATAATTGCAGAAACAAAGGCCAAGAAAACGAACAACATGAATAAACAGGTTATGGATCAAAATCAGCTAAAAAAAAGGAAGTCACAGAGAAAGGTACTCTTCCTAAATCTCTGCACACAACCAGACACCTCCCTCAAACCAGTAATACAGAAACTCCCAAGTAGTAGTGTTTCTTTTTGAGTCTTCATTTATCTAAGCTTTCATGCATCAATTATCCACATATCTACAATAACTTCAAAGTTTGTGCAATATTTATTAACAACACATATAGTGAAATAGGGAAAACATCATGCATTATGAAAGTCATTTTCTCAACTTCAAGAGCAGAAAAAACTGCTTTTGTCTGAAATTCAAATATTACTGAGATTCATGAGCTCACTATCTAAATTTAGCAACCAAGTCCACCCACCCAGCTTGGATATACAGTGCTCAGCATACATGCGTACACCCCTTTTGAAAAAGTAAGATTTTAATCAATATCTCAATGAACAAAAGAACAATTTCTGAAATTTTGGAAAAACTTGAGTTTTATACAACATTTGTTTAGCTCATTACATGAAAGTAAGGTTAATATAACTTAGAATACAAAATCTTCAGCTTTACTCAAATTAGTTGCTGCAAAAAATTAATACACCCCACAACAAAAAAACTACTACATCTAGTATTTTGTATGACCTCCATGATTTGTAAGCACAGCACCAAGTCTTCTAGGCATGAAATGAACAAGTTGACGACATACTGCAACATCTATCTTTTTCCATTCTTCAAGTATGACCTATTTTAGAGCCTGGATGCTGGATGAAGACTGATGCTCAACTTGTCTCTTCAGAATTTCCCATAGGTGTTTGATTGGGTTCATATCAGGAGACATACTTGGCCACTGAATTACTTTCACCCTGTTCTTCTTCAGAATTGCAACAGTGGTTTTGGATCATTGTCAAGTTGGTAAAGTGCACAACGACAAAGGGCACGGAGTGATGTGAATGGTAGCATCTCCTCTTTCAATATAGAGCAGTACATCTGTGAATTCATGATACCATCAATGAAATGCAGCTCCCCGACACCAGCAGCGCTCATGCAGCCCCACAGAAGGGCACTGCCACCACGATGTTTCACAATAACCGCCATGCATTTTTCTTTGTACTCCTCACCTTTGCGACGCCATACAGTTTTGAAGCCATCAGTTCAAAAAACATTTATCTTGGTCTCATCACTCCAGAGTCCCAGTAGACTTCTTATTCAGCATGGGTCCTGGCAAATTCCAGGCAGGCTTTTTTGTGCATGGGCTTTAGGACAGGCTTCCCTGAGGTGTTAACTTCTGTGGACAGCCTGGACATCTCTGTGAGATGGTTGCAGTTCCATCTTTGTTACATTTTTGTATCACTTTTGCTACAGTATTCTGACTGATAAGTAAAGCTTTGCTGATCTTCTTGTAGCCATCACCTGTCTTGTGTAAAGAAATGATTTTCTTTCTCAGACCTTGAGACAATTCTCTTCCATGTGGTGCCATTGCTGACAGCATGAAATGGGAAGTGGTTTTCTTTGTTAAGTAACGCCCTTTTATAATCAACTGTCTGTTGGACACCTGTTTAATGAATAATTGGACTCACTTGTAGTTGAATTCTTGTTAATTAGGATTTTGTCTAAAATTTAGCTTTGCTCCTAAGACTTTCATTGGGGCGTATTCATTTTTGCAACATGGTCTTGAATGAATTTGTTAGGAAAAATACTTTGTGTGCACAAATTAACAAATCTTGTTTGCAGTCAGTGGCCCGCAATTGTGGGAGTATTTTGTAGTATAGTGTCAGAAAATGTTGATTCTGAAATGAAAGTAAAGGTTTTGCAACACAATTGGTTGGGGTGTACTTGTTTACGCTGAGCACTGTAGTTTCTCAGGCTAAAAAAAAACAAAAGAAAAAAAACACATACTTTGGTCCATCAATTTAATGAATAAAAAACCTGAGGTTGATCCAGAGGAAAACCAAAATTATTCATAGAACCTGAAGTATAGAATGCTACTTTCAGGAGATTAAACACTGGCAAAGCTTTTAGACATCTTTCCCTTGGGTGTACACCTATAAGGCTACGTTCACACTAGCGTTGTGTGCAGGCGGCAGAAAGGCGTTTGGGAAGCGTTTTTACCGCTTCCCAAACTCCTCGGACAATTCTGCACATTGCAGAATTGCAGGTGCTGTTCTAATGGGAGCGTTAGCGTTGCGGCAAAACGGACGCCTCTGGTCGAGTCAGGAGGCGTTTAAAGCCTCCTATTCTAGTCTATGGTGCCGCTTCGCAAACGCGCGGCTGGCGTTTGCGGTGCGGTTGCGGGGCATTTGCGGAGCGGTAACACCATTCAAACTTCATTATAGGCATTTGTAGGGCGTTTTTAAAGCTCGGCAAATGCCTAGCAACTGCCGCTGAACCGCGCATGTGGCATTTGCCGAACGTTCAAAAAACGCTTCACAAACGCCGGACCAACACTTTCCAAACGCTATAGGGGCGTTTGGCAAGAGTTGGTAAAACAGTCAAGTGTGAACGACCCCTAACTCTACCCCACTATGTGAGACTTTATTTTTACTTTTTTTTAAGCAAACAAGCAATACAGAGTAATACATGAACAGAGGGGAGAATGGTCTGTGTCCTGCACTGTATGCAAAGATATGAATTTACAGGCACTAGAGTTTCTATGACTAAAACAGGATCTATGAACGGTGGGAGCAG